TAGTTTTGTCGCTCGGTCGTTTTACTTGTACATGTGTTCACCGAGAGGAATGAACACCTGTTTTATTCCATACCCCAATAAAATTTGTGCAATACCCACATTTATACCGATTTTCAGAATAAATTCCGAGATTAAAATAATCAATAACTCACAACAAATAAAACAGCAGAAAAAAAAATCCAGTAGAGAATAATCTGTAATTTAAACAACTGCAATAACTGGTTCATCCCTTTTCCAAATTTCTGCAGTGAAAATGGATTGCAACAAATATTCACTAAAATTTGATAAAAAAGTGGTTCTTTCCTCCTGGCAGAATCAACTGGCGCTATTCCATTTAATCTCATCACGGCGAATCTCCATACCCCCCATTTCCTCCGCAACCACTTCACTTATCTTTCCTCCTAATTGTCCTGGAAATAAACTCCGAGATCATTGAACCCACTAAGATTAATAGCCCCCTCGAATCTCCAGAAAATTCCTCGTGATCGCCTTTTGGAGACCATTAAGGGAGTTCGTCGCTCTTGCTCCTTCAATCCAAAGTCATCAGGCAATTTCTCAGGGGGTACGAGGAGGGGGGTCCACTCCCGATCATTTGCGTTCACAGACTGCTGGTAGTCCCTCATCGATCGTGGCGATAAAAGTGATTGACTCTTGAAACGAGTCCAGTCAATAGAAGGGGGTGCGGGGAGTCAGCGTTCACCAAGAGTTCTCCGCATGTTAAATAGAGTGGGAAAGAGTCGTACAGTTTCCGTTTACTCTCTCATTTATTCATGTGCGCCTTTTTCCTCGACTTATTTTTTTTTTCGTCATTTTTTATTTGAAATGCATACGACGATATCGTCGACTCTGCCTCTTCAATTAGCTTCACAACGCCGCTCGTTAAACTTTTATGTTTCACTCAATGACTCGTTATGTCCCCTCCCCCCTGAGTTCAGAGAATATCGCCCCTTCATAAAGATGGAAATCTTTATCTCGCCACTGTAGAGAGGATACAATGTTTTACGATATGCTGATTTTTTATTTGAAAAAATTTTTTTTTCTTCAAGTTCATGACCTCAAATCGCCGTTTTTACTTCCAGGTAGCTCGGAAAGGAGTTCAGTCAATGATGATCGATCGTCAAGAGTCCGGTGCATGTGTTTTGCCGGTTTTGCCGACGCTGATGACGATGCAATTCTTATGGGTCAGCTGAAGAATCCATATTATGCCAATAATGTGTAAAAAAGTTAACTTAAATAATGGTCGGCGTTGGATTTCGGAGTTTCCCCAAGGTACAAAATTAATTGTTTCCAAATTTTTTTTATACTTTCGGATTTAGAAAATATTCATTTCGTTTTTACTGCAGGGCTTACTGAAAGTCTGAGAGGACTTTTTCGGTGCGGATTTTTTTTCCAAAATACATCTGGTGATCAGAGAGGGTCAACAAAGGAAAGACCAAGGTCAAGAGTAGAAGGAAAAAACTATATTGCCTTCTGGAGAAGAATTTAACTTGAGACTCTCAAAGTGCCTCTTTTTTGAATGACTGTCTACAGTCCAATAATTTTAAATAATAATTCTCAGTGTTCAAAATAATTTGTGTTTGTTTAGTTCTATGCCATAATCTAATAGCCGGAATCCATTTATATTGAGATAAATTGATGACATGAATCAATAGCTATATGGTTTTTCCAACATGATTCAAGTCAATTCCTCGACTTGACTCAATTCAATTTTTTACTTGACCCACCTCAATGTTTTGAATTGATTTAAGGCCCGGGTGGACTACCTATAGAACGTCATCTTTTGTTTAAATTTTATCTTTCTAGCCTAAAATACATAAAAATTTGGGATAAGTTTTGAGGTCACGAAAATCACTGGATTTGGCATGAAAAAATAATGAAAAAAAAGAGGAAAAAATTTTGAAGGGCGCTAAAGAGCAATATTTATGAAAAGGGATTTTCCAGGTTTACAAAAAAATAATGAAAAATCTGCAGCATTTGATTGCCTGTAGCTGCATTCAATTCAGTGGAGGGTTTGGTTTGTGTGGTGAATACTTGACATACATGCTACATATTTTTCATTATTTTTTTGGAAACCTGGAAAATCCCTTTTCATAAATATCGCTCTTTAGCGCCCTTCAAAATTTTTTCCTCTTTTTTTTCATTATTTTTTTATGCCAACTCCAGTGATTTTCGTGACCTCAAAACTTATCCCAAATTTTTATGTATTTTAGGTTAAAAAGATAAAATTTAAATCAAACATGACGCTCGATAGATAGTCCACCCGGCCCTTAAGTTGATTCTTCGAATTGATCTATCACAGAATCCGAGTCATTCCACTTTAATCGAATCGAGAATCGGCTAAAATCAAATCGACATCGAGTTGAATCAGTATTTTTTTTTAGATGGATGATTTATTTTCATTTAGTTTCCCTCGTAGAATGCATTCATGCGTGAGATACCCCTTATCGCGTGCATGTCACTGCGTCCTGCCTGAAACAACGACAAAAAAAAAACACCCGGAAAAAGGGTTGTCCGAGTGCCAACGGCAGATAGAAACTAAAGTGAGATTAACACCTTCACGCACGGACGCCTTCAATTACATGTGCAACACGAGTCAGTGTCTCCCCTACTAACTCGCCCACAGGCCTAATTCTTTTATTGGAGTATTTATAGCCCGAGTCAACTGTCACACAGGACTAGACGAATAAATTAGAGAGTACTGATAGAAAAAAGGGGGTTGGAAATTTGGTACCGGCCGATTGGGCCCGGATTTTTCGTCCCACGGAAATCTGGGACCGATTCCCGGTCACTTACGCACACTTAAATCATTTAAACCGCCCATTCATCTCCCGCGACGCCGTCAGACGCCGGAATGAAGCCGATTCACTTTTGACACCTCTGCGCATCCCACTGCGCTGGCTAATGCAATTGCGCCTCATTTCAACGAATCAATGGCGGGAGAAACAGGTATTTCTGAGAATTTAATGGTGCAAACATTCTGACGAAAAGAGTCTACCAAAATTTCTTGCAAGTCATCGGGAATATCGCAAAACCGAAAATATTCAAGTGACCTGTCTCAAAGAAATGAAGAAAAATGTAAAATATATATATGTATATATATATAATATTTCAAGTGAAAAAAGAAGAGTGATTGCATGTGGGGCAGAGCCCGTTGGAGGCTAGAGCTCCTTGAAGATATCACGTTGACATATTTTCGTAAATAAAAATTAAAAAAAACAAGTTACGATGGAAGAAACAGGGGAAAGTGTCCATGGACGGCCTCTCGGGAGGCCTTGCAATGACCTCCCTCGACCCCAAAAGATTCCAGTACAATAGCCGGCAAGAGTGGTCCAGGGAAGAGAGAAGAGCGGGGAAATCCTTCGAGTTTATGGTGGCCAGAGTAGACCTCCGTGGAGTTATCGTACGGCTATCTACTCTTGTAGGCATGCCGTGAGGACTCCGACTCTCGACACGGTTCTGCCCCCGTTCCTCACCGAATGTTACTGCACCTCACCGCCACTGTTTCACTCCACCTTCTCTCGACGCGCTGCGTCGTTGAACATTTGCTTCAAGACCAGCGCTAGGGCAAAAAAAAATTGATAAAAAAAAAAAGAGAGAACAAACGGTGGTGGCTACCAGCGGGGAAGCGCACACGGCTCCTCTGGCTTTTGCCTCCTCGATACAAGATACTGCCACGTGTTACACGTTGTTTCGCCACCATAAGGTAAAGGGGTCCCGTAGTTCGAACCATTCCTGTCGCTGGGGTATACGGGACAATAATGGATCGGCCTTTTGTCTGTTTAGGCTTCGTTTTGCTCTTGTACAATGTTTCGTGCGATTGTTTCTTTTTATCATGGGGATTTTTTTCCGGGTGCCATTCGTAGAATGGGGTATCTCCCCTGGGTTTTTGTTCATAACATGAGAAATTGAAGAGCAATTCTGCCTCGGTCATCGCCTGGGAAAATACGATTGTGGATTGAGATATTTTAGACGGTGGGAATGGAAAGGGGAATTTTTTAAATGAAGATCTCTTATCGGGAGAGGAGTTTGTGTCGTCGTTCTTCGGTCATTTGTTCGGGGACACGGAATCCTCGGGGGTTTTGTTTTATATAGACGTTTGATGGGGACGTATAAGGATATTTAAAAGGAATTCCATCGTGATTGGGTGGATGGAGTTTGTTGCTTGGGGACGAGGCATCGATCAATGTCTCTCTAGTTGGGGATTTCAGGGGATTGTGACATTTTCGTGTCGTGGGTGGCTGGGTGCGACACACGTTGGCCAAATGTCAGGGGGCATGGATATAGATGTGGATGAGGTTGATAATATATGTTTGTGAAGCATGTTGAAAACGATCGATTGTGACTTGTAAGTGAAAAGTAATGACGTAAATTGGAGGTAAATTGGTTGAGGGAGTTGTTTATCCCACGGATATTTTACTCTCTGGGATTGATTTCGAGGTGGTGATTGTCATTCGAGAGTTTTCTATCGATGAAAAATTCTCGATTTACGGTCTGAGAAAAGAACAAATTTATACAGGAAAGTTTTCCTTCAACAGTTCAGTTGCCAGGTCGTAAAGTACATCGAATTTGCCGTTTTTCTTAGTTATTGATTTATCTTGAAAACTATTGACTTCAGTTGGATGCCTCGAAGATTTTCTTTGTAGATCATTACATTTTTTGCAAAAAGGATTTTCTCATATTCATTCCCAAGATCGACAGTTTTAGAAATAAATCAGTAATTATCTGATTAAATCACCACGTTATCAAACATTCGTATAAATTCACCAACAATTCAATTTCATACAATTGTATTTTAATATGAACAAAAAAGTTTGGTTTATTTTCCCACAATATTGGAAGCCATGGAAATTTTTTTTTCTATCTCAAAAACTGAAAACGAATCTTGAAAAAATATGAAATCAATCTAAACAAAATTTCTGGAATTATATTTTTAAAAGATTGAGGAAGAACTGGATTTTTTTACTTGCGGGTTACAAATGAACAAAAAAACTTCCACTGAATCGTACGTAGAAAAAATAGCCGTTTATATGAATTGAAAGTACAAAAGTGAGCAACACTAGATTAAAACAAAAAATAAAGATCGAAACCACATCAGTCAACATTGATATTCTCAATAAGTAAATCCCCTTCACCTTCGCTCTCCGGCCCTGTGACGTGCTCTTGGAGCTCCTGGACGTGCATTTTGCGCAGGCTCTGGCATTCGTAATTGCTGCACTACCTGTCGTATTGCCCCTGGAAGCTGGGCAACAGTGTTTTGACCAGGGAAATGTATGTTCTGCACAGCATTCTGCACAGCTATTCGAATCTGATTGACGGTTGTCGCTGGTACTTCAATTTGAATGGCTTGATTGGGAACTGGTGCTCGAGGTGGAGGATTTGCCTGGGGTGGAGCAACCCTAACCTGCTGGACTGATCTCCCTGGAGTTCCTCGTCTAGCAACTCCTCCTCTCTGAGAGGGTGTAGCAATCACAGGATTTTCAAGGGCTAAAACAATTACAGATAATTATCTTCTATAAAACTAATGGTTCCCATGAAAAATGAGGCAGTGGGGTAAAAAATTCATTCAAATAAAAATGAATCTGATGAAAAATTACCTCGTCTTTCCTTGAATAGCTGTTGCCTCTTGTCTTGCTCCTCCTTTGAACGATTATTGATAGCCTCATCAATAAAATTATCCACCACCAATGCTCTGTTCATCGAGGTTATCGGTGATCTGCAAATGGGACAGAGATGTTGTTTTCTTCTCCAGGAACGAATGCAGTGGGAGCAAAAGGTGTGAGTACAGTTGAGAGTCGTCGCCATCACGAAGAGTTCCTGACAGATGCTGCAAGTAAACTGTTCATCCATGGCTGTCATTATTTTAGTCCCCATCTCGATACTTTTTTTCGAAGTCGAGGGGGCATTTTCTCCAGTTAAGTCGATTGTTTCCAAGACCTGGAGCTTCGTACCCTTTTTGTCACTGCTCACTTTGTAAAGGTAGCAGTCTTTATTCCGTGTCACTTCTGATAACAGCACTGTAAAGAAGAATATCTGAATATCACAATCGATGATTCATTAATTTGTTGATTGAGCAAGAGTTAATGTACAAATAGGATTTTTTAAGCAACTGACCAGATTGATTCCTGAACTGTTCAGCAACAGCTGTCTGTTCCTTGAGAGCTTTCTCGGTCTCCTCGACCTTCTTTTGCAGGGCCTCTTTCTCCTTAACAACAGTACTCAACTGTTGTTCCTTCCAGTTCTTCATCTGCTCTGCCATATTTTTCTCGAATACCTCTTTCTCCTGCTTCGTCATGTCAAGTGCCTCCTGCCACTTGTTCCTCTCCTCAGTGAGTCTTTCCTCGAATCGTCTCCTCTCTTCCGTCATAGAGTTCACAAGCTGCTTCAGGCTGTCCTGAAGCTGAACCTGATTGTCCTTGGAGATCTTGATCTGTTCCTCCAGCACCTTAATCTGATTGTTCTTCTCTAGGGATTCCCCTTGGACTGCCTCTTTTTGTCTCCGGAGGTCGTCGAGGCGAGTCGTCAGCTCCTCTGTCTGCTTCTGCTTTAGCAGAATCTTGTCCTCCATCTCCTTCATCTGGGCCTCCTGGCGTTCCTCGAAGATCTTTTGTCTCGCTGAGACCTCCATGACCTTCTCCGCCATTCTTGCACGTTTCACCTCTGGATCGTCCCCTTTTGGACACATCTTCAGGGTGTATAGAAATCGCTTTGTGTCTCCCAGCTCTAGTTCGTCATCAAGGCTCAGGGGGTAAATCACGTTGCGAATTAATTTTACACCGTTTAGGAACGTTCCGGAGGAACTCGAGTCTATTATTATCCACTGTTGATCTTTTTTTTCTATCACGCAGTGATTACGAGAAATTGAGATATCTATAATAATTGCGTCGTTGTCCGCCCCGCGACCCAACCTAAACTGAATGAATTGTAGTGGAGAAACATTTTCTTTTAATTATTGAAATGAAAAATAAAATTCGTCGTTCGGAATGTATTGGTATTTCTAAAGGTTCTGGTTTCTGAGGATCTTATTGCCACCTGCGGGGACAATTCCTGGAGAATCTATAACTGATTTACGGAAAAATTGGATTTAGGAAAAAAATCACTTTTTGCCACCAAAAATCGTAGATCAGATAATATTAAATCAATATTACTTGAGGGTGTAATCGAGAAACTGTATGTCGCAAAATCTTTTTCAGTAAATATAATTGTATAACAATAGAATAATATTTAATTTTTTTCCAACGCTTAGGGTAAAAGAATTTCCTTTTTATTTTTTTATCTTTCATCATGATTATCATTTAGGACAGAATATATATGAAATCAACTGTTGGAAGATGGAAAAAATTGATTCTAGAACAAAGTCAGTTTTCTTCTCTAAAAATTCAAGATCAAGCTGGAGGGTTTACGATTAAGTTCATTTCTAAAATCTTTTTCCGATTCTTGAGGCTTTTATTGTTATTTGAGAATCAATTATACTTGAAATCAACTATCAACGGGTGAAAAAAAATCGATTCCAGGAGAAAAACAGACAGATAGGACCCCTGACACGTAGAGTAATAAAAAAAATTGTATTTTTCAACTTTTTCCTTGTCTAAAGAGTTTATTCTCATTTCCGAAGTAACTATATGTAAAATTAACCAATGGTCGATGAAAAAAATGCGACCACAAATGCAATGTGTCACATTTATTATTTTTTTAGGAAACTTGGTAGACCCCTTCTAAACAATATCGCTCTTAAGTGCCCTTTAATAATTTTTCTTCTTTTTTTTTTCATTATTTTTTTATGCCCATTCAATGCTTCCCGCACCACAAATTTTATGTCAAATTTTTATATATTTTAGGCTAAAAAGATCAAATTAAATAAAAGATGACGTTCGACAGATGGTCCGCCCAGGCTTTAATTTCATAAAAGAGTAGATATGAACTAGGGGTTAAAAATTATTTTTCAATTCTTCCCTTTTTCCTAGTCCTCAGGCTTTTATTATCATCTGGATGTGAATACACACAAAATCACTTCACGGTTGGCAAATAAATGGATCTTAAAGCCATGAAAATTTTCCCAAATACAAGATGTCCTGGACTTGGGAAGTTCATACACCCAAGTGTCACTTACAAAAATAATTAAATCCCCAGAAACTACACCTTATAAATTGAATAGATTACTTACCACATCCTTAGTTATTTGGAAATCACGAGCTTTTGATCCGCCTTTGTTACACTTAACCAAAACAGGTATCAATTCCACATCAATTTCACGTTTTTCCGCGGACAGTTGCACTTCCATCGGAATATCTGTCATGTTAAAACTTCAATTACACTGCTTATTACCAATTAAGTTCACATAAACCGACGGATCGAATCAGGAAGCACTGGCAAAACAACGGAGAAATCACTTGAAGTGTGTAGATGCCGGTTGCATGTACTCCATGAGGTAGTAATACACGTTTTATGTCAGGAGACCCATTGATCAGTTTTTATGACATCTCTGAGACCTCTGACGGCTCTCATTTGCTCTGCCGATACATTCGAAATTCGCGGGAAACGCCAGGTGGCGCGAAATTTCCGTTCCGAATTTAAATTTATCTTCAAAAATCCAACACCACTAAAAAACAATATTCCTTTATTGATCTATTTTATTACCCACTCCTTTATTAAATATATCCTATTTTTATTGGAAATATATCTCAAAATATCTTGCATTGATCGAATTTCTTTGCCATCTGTCAAAGAATTCGATATAAAGTTCCCAAAGTATCAAATTTGAAATATCTGTATATCAAATTTGATATTAAGAGCATCCGTGAATATTTAATATTGATTGTGAATAATTTGTTTTTCCAGATCGATGCGTGCAATTTGTACCCTGAAATCGGTAAAACTGAGAAGATTGGAAGAATAAATTTCTCATCTTCACCGATGAATGAATTCAAAATAGCGATAGTATCGGTGTTCACCCAGCTGTTCACATCCGCGATAATTTAAACCCGCGGAATGCGAACAAAGTTCGCGGTTCGCCCCGTAGAAAACAGTCAGCCTCGCCCACTCACTCCTCTCAGTTTCCACAGGTGAGTTTACGAGCTTCCAATATCGATTTTTCCTCATTTTAAATTTACACAAGTGAACTTTCCCCGCTAAAATATTCTACAGCGTGAATATTTTATTCGCCAATCGATCTTTCCCTCGGCGCGAGACGAAGAGATTATCGGCGCAAGCCAAAGGAGAATAAACGATGGGGAAAAAAAAATCACAAAAAGGAGGGGGGATGGGAAGGTGCAGGGGGAATCCCGAGGAATAAAAATGTAAATAAAAAAAATGACCATTGGAGTGAGCGCTGGCGGGTCATTGGGGTCGTGAATCGCTCGTGTTGAGGATAGAGGCAATAAAAGCAACGGGCAAAACGGTCAATCGAGAAAGGGAGAACGAAAAAGTAGAAAAAAAATGATGAGAAAAAATAAGATACCCTATTACCATATGGCTTATATACGAAACCACGGAGCTATAACTGTGTGGAGTGTATGTTTCCTCGTGGTCTCGCGGTCAGTGTCGCCATAACTTGAAAATAAATAAATCCAGAGTGCCGGATAAATACCCTTGGACGCCCGTACGCTTGTACAATGCAAATGCTATCATGTCCGAGGACCTTTTCCTCCCCACTCATCGCTAAATGAGAACAAACTATAGTTTAATTTGTCGTATTGCTTTCTCACATCTCAATTTGCCAAAAAAAAACATTTTTCCTTTAGCTATTTCACACGTAGTTCTCGGTAAACTTTTATCGTGACGTCAGTAAACCGCATTGCAAGTTCTTTATGAAACGATTACAGCGCTGGGTTGCATTTCCATCGAGATATGGTGATGCGCGCGCAGAGAATTGGTTAGATCGTTTTAAATCGAATTTTCTTCGGGAAATAATTCATCAATGTTTATCTTCTTTCATGATTATTATTAGGGAATAATTATTTACAGAAAAAATAAAAAAGTAATTGACATTATAATTCAATTTACGCAAGAAATGTAATAAATGAAAGAAAAAGGCATGAATATCATAGGCATACAAAACTATGAAGAAAAAATATTACGCGACTATTTTAATGAAGGATTAAAAATGAGCTTAATTGTGAATTTGTTTAGGCTGGAATGTGGAATGATAAATGTCGAATTCTGATACTAAACGGGATTATTAAATCTCGAAATGACTGGAAAAGCCCTGAATCACGTTCGATCTGCAATAGTCGATTTACGGCTAATTACGGGTGAAGCACCCACGAGGCAGAACTGTGTGGTGACGTGTCGGTTAAAAGTTAACACAACGCAAAGCAACATACAACCCCGTGTGCTAAACGCTCGTGTGTATCTCTTTAGATACGTGAAACTGATTACGCAATAGGATTCGCGCTCTCATGTGTTTAACCATGTGTTAGTAAACAACTTGAGTAGATTTAGATCAAAGGGGACGGGCAAATACAAAATAAACACACATACGGGCGTTTGTAGTTATGTCGAAGGGATCAAACGTAAGGCTGAAGACACGCTTCCTTGAGGCATTAGAGACGTACGTTCGATTAATGTGCTTTCCCCTCAATTCAATGTAAGATCTGTTAGTCTGTACGCTCAGTGACTGTTGTTTTAAATCCATTCGAAATAATTGACGTTGTGGAGTTATAACCGATTGGCTGAATTTATATCGAGGGGAAAGAAACAAAGTGCTATTGCGTTTAACGCTCTTTTTTTTTCACTCTCAATGGGCATTTAAAAAATAAAATGACTTCTTCACTTCAATAACTACTCCACAGTCGTGGCTTTTCAAGCTTAAATCCCTTTTCCTATATTTTCTCGATTTATTCTCCATCTTCATTTTGCGGGAAATTCGCCATTCATTTCGTGTCGCAATTTGTTTCATGCGCGGGAAAAATTCAGTGCCGCCAATCGGTTTTTCTGTCGCTTTCTAGGGAATTTTGTGTTGTGGTCAGAGTGTTCGTTTAAATCATTGAAAAAAATTCGAACAATAGGATTTTCAGAAAAGGGGAACGAGTAATGATGAGGAGGGCAACACGGAGACATTGCCGAGTTGTTTTTGTGTAGAAAATACTTATTCAAGTCGATGTCGGTCTGATTCGAGTCGATTTCCGAGGTAATTCGACGAATCGAATTGGAATTGGAAAGCGGTTAGCTCTCGTCGGTTTGTCGTTGGGGTAAAAATAATCTCCCATCACTCACCTTTGAAAATATCTTCAGATTCGCGATTTAATCGAGTGCACCATTCCGTGCACCTCGTTAAATTAGGGCAACGAAGCGCGATGATCATCACAATGTTACGGATACTCAGTACAGCATAACCTCCCACTTCTTACAATATTTTCTCTCTATTCCTCCAGTTTGGGATAAACAGGTTGTTTGTTTTTCATCGTTGCTGTCCTCCTCGGACGAATGTAAAAAAGTAGAGGTTAAAATATAAGAAATGAGAGGTTGCACCGACCAAGATTTATTATCTCCCTCGAAAAGGTCCGAAGACTCGCCCGTGTCTTACCTGCAACAAAGAAGTGAAAAAAAAATGATCAACTTAAGACCCTCAACTCTGATGCGAGGTAATCAATAAACATTGCGCAAGGCGAAAACAATTGTTTGTATTCGGTGCATTAACAGCGTTCTGGGAAAAATAGTTAATGGGATTGATGGTGTGCTTGATGAATGTTGGAGATGAAATGAAGGTATCGGGGCAAATAAAAGAGAGGGGTCACACCACGCCTCGATGGGTGATCCCATCCAACCCATTCGTAGAACAGGCTTTGCCGAGAGATCTTCGAGTTCCACGTATACACTGGCATCGCCCTGTCGATCAGATTTCTATCGATGCCGTGTCGAACGTCTCGTACTTTACTCTTATTCTTTTTCTTTTGCTTCCACCGATGGTGACCCAGACAACTTTCATTCTAATGATTCTTCCTTTTTCATTCAGCAATTAATTAACTCACTTTTTCTCCAAATCCCAGAATCTTCCATTCCGTGAATCGAAATTCTTCTTAATAGTCGGAAAATTTTGTCATAATTGTCCTTTCTCGCACGATTTCCACTATTTTTACGAAAAATTTCAATAAAAGATTGGATCCGATGAGTTGAGACTTTCTCTATGTTATTCGAAACTATCTCCTAAGAAGGGACACGCACACGCTTCAATTGTAGGTGAAAATATATTGCCGACAATTTAATTAAATGACTCGATCTTTCATTTATTGTTAGCAAACAAACTTTAGTTAAAGACTCGATATAATGTAAGCTAGGTTGTTAATGTCCAATGTTGCTTGCTCGAGAGTTCGTCTCCAAGTGACCCCGGTCACCAATTCGTCCAGGGTGGCAGGTCTACCCAGTAGCCAAGGCCCTTTGTCTATGGGGTTGGTCCACGTGCTGGGCTGTTTCGTCATAAACAGCCTAAATGTTTCAAGTATTCCCTGTGATCAGTTACAACGGGTCTCTTGTTTGTTTTAACGTCGAAAATATTTCCAACACAATCTTCTCGAAAAAATTAACTACAAGTATAATCTTTACTGAGCAAAGTTTGGATTGAAACCAAACGTGAAAAATCATTTTAGTCCTTGAAAATCTTTCAATTTTAGTCGTTTGTCTACCTTTTGAGGATAATCCACCGCCCTGTCTCGAAAGCGACCACAAGGCGAATTTGACAAGTTGAAAAATGCCGAGAATTTTTTTGATGCAATGAGTTTTATCCACGATAAAAAGTCACGATACAATCGCATTCACGGTCGGTTATGTTATTCAGGTTCATCCACCTTGAGTTGCTCAAAGTACTGAGCTGGAAACTGATAGTTGGATGAAACGACGCGCAACGTTAAATTGGGATTAGTTGATGCGGGGTGGGCAGGGGCAACATTGTGGGCAACAGGGCGTTACGTGTTCGTGCGCCTGCGGGGTTGAAGATCGGCCAACGACAAAGCGCCTTTCTGTATAGATTCCCCCTTCCATCTTGTAACCTCGCCATTGGGTTCGAATGTATGCAACTTGATGGTTCAAGAGAACGCCGAATGGACGGGCGCATACTGTGCATCGAGATCACAATGTGTGTGGTCTCCTGGTACTCAATGTGAATTCAACAAATTTCCATGGGATGAGACAACTCACCGATTACACCGCATTTCAACGCTGGACCGCGAAAAAAATCATACAACGCATAAAACTTACTCGCCAACATGTGTACAATATATTCTTTGGTATTTAATCTGTACGCGGGACGAATGCGCAGAAAGAAATATTCAAGAAAAATTACGGAACGTTTCAACTAATCGCCAAGCGAGAGCGGTTTTAGGTGAATTTTTATCGAGATATAAGTGAAAAATCGGGAACGCTCAGTAAATTTTTGGGCCTGTAACTCAAACGATATGAAAAAGTTACGGATTTTCTCTGGA